TCCTCTTAGTTTTGACCCTCCCTATGCCCAAGGTGCAGTCCGTTATTTCTCGGACTGCAATAATGGCCTTCCCATGCCCATGGAAACCTCCTTTTACTCCTACATTTCTCCCATAATGGTCCCTCCTACTCCGATTTTCTCCCGGAGGGCTATTTTTCACATGGGGTCTTATTTTACTCTATTTTCTTGAGGGAGGCTGATCCGAGATTTTTCGGATTGCTCCCATGCCTCCCACTTCAGTTTTCTTTACTCTTCCTTTTCTTTTTGGCCTTCCCGTTTGTCACCACTAGTACTTGCACTAGTGGTGCTAATATTCTTGGCCGTCAAGATGTCGATCTTGATATGAGAGAAAGGGTAAAAATCATGATTGAGGAACCATTCAACAAGAAGGAGTGGATCAAGATGGACCTGCCCCAGAAGAAGAGGAGGTAGGAGGAGGAAGTCCTAGGTGTTATGGTAGCGGAAAAGGAGTCAGAGGTCGAACTTGGTGCTAAGTGTTCGAAAGCACAAGCCGGTAGGGAAGAAAGCAAAACCGGTCTCGATTCTGGTAGAGACATCAAACAAAGAGGCTATGGAGAAGGAGGAAGAGGTCCTTCGAGTGATCCGAGAAAGAAGGGCAAAGAAGGGATATCGGATACCAGATGAGGTAGCTGACACAATGAAGATAGGGATAAACGGGTTCTTAACGGAAGAAGAAACCCGCCTGATCAAAAGGACCTACCAGGAGTTTTCGCTGGCATTTGCCTTTAGTGATCACCAGAAGGGACGACTGGATGGGAAGTTGATCCCTCCGGTCAGAATCCACACGGTAGAACATGAGTGCTGGAATGACAAGGGGCCATCCTATGAATTTGGGATAGCAGGAGAAGTAATAGACCTCCCCCGAGCAAAGATGGACTCCTTCGTTGCGGAGCCTACGGCATCGCCATACGCAAATCGGTGGTTCGTCTTTCGGAAGCCTAACAAGACACTAAGGTGGATTCAGGACCTGCAGAAGTTGAATGCGGTAACCATCTGGGATGCTGGCTCGCTACCTCAGGCTGACTTATTAGCAGAATCGCATGCCGGTTGGAGCATTTACTCCTTGATAGATCTGTACTCAGGGTAAGACCAGCTTCCGCTGGATGTTCGGGACAGGCCATACCCCGCTATGCACACCCCCGTAGGCCAACTACAGATGCAAGTGACCCCTATGGGATTCACAAACGCGGTGGCCGAAGCGCAACGCAGGATGCTCGYYGTGGYCGRGGACATGTTCCCAGAAAAATGTGAGCCTTACATCGATGACAATCCGATCAAAGGCGCGCAGGAGAAGGACGAGACAGAAGTCCAGCCAGGGATCCGACGTTTTGTGTGGGACCACCTGCAGGACATCAAGAACTTACTCCACCGGTTCCT